CCCCCCAAGAAAATCCTAGTTTTGAGAAAACTGTAAAAACCCCGAATTCATACATATCTATTACAACACAATATTATAAAACATGGCATATGTGAGCACTTTATAGATGTTTTAGACTCTTGAAAACATTTCCAATCGACAAAACAGATGTTGCTCTACTAAAATAGTCCAAAATCGAAAAATTGGTTTTAGATACCAAAATATACTTTTTTGGCTGTTGGCTGCTGCCGTGGTGTACCAACGATTTGGAAAGGGAAAAAAAGTTTTGTTTAATTTTAGTAGAAGTTTTTCGACGCTCGCAACCCCATAAGGTCAAATGAGCGCCAAGGGGTGGATGTCAACAGAGAAGTCCCTACAGGCAATCCGATTTACTCTGCTCACCTCTCTTGCTTCAGCAGCACAAAGTCTGCTTCGACTATCAAGACACCATGGAAATAGCAGGTCACAAGAGTGTGACAAACATACAAAAGAAGTAGAGGAAAATGGCGATAGTAAGGATTAGGAAAGAAAAATTAGCAGTTCTCTGTTGTAGTTCAGGCACAGTTATGAGCGTTACATTGTTAGATCAGCACCTTTACAATTCTACTGTGCACTAGACGGAGAAATGTCCTCCCTTTGGGAAGGGCCAAAAGACATTTCAGTCAGTTTTACCGCCCCAGGGGGTAGATCCTAGAAAGAAGTGACAAAAAATACTAGAATGTTCATAGCTTAATTGTGTCATCAAAGCTTATATCTAAAGCGAGAGGCAAGATTCTTGGGAAGTAAAATGTTTTGAATTCGTAATTTTGCGTGTTAGATATGTATTATTATTTCGATTTGAGATGCTCTATCTCTGTCTTTTTTTTTTTTTTTTTTTACTAAATGACGATAACGTCCTGGATTATTTTATGTTTTATACGTTCTCAATCATATTTAACAACTTTTCAAAACAAAAAACAATATATATTATACACGATATACAAGGTGCTTAATTATCTTTAAACCATAAACCACCTGGTCCTCTCCCCAGAGGTTATAGCACTCTGTGAGATTTTTCAGAACACTAAGAGCAATACGTAGATATTCATTAAGCCTTCACCACCCTAGAATTACGAAGTTCTATCTGCCCAGTACCTAGTTTTGAGAAGAGAAATTTGACGTTAAAAGTGTTGAGTTTCACAACATTTCAAGCTTTCTCGAATGCACGTTTTTGATTATTTTGACAACAACTTCGAATAATCTTATGATTTTGATAGAGCAGGTGGAACTTTGGTTTCTGACCTCATGGTCTTAGTAACTCAAAACGGCAAGAAATGTTAAGTAGAAATGTGTAATTCTGAGGTAGCAATAATAGCACTGCATTAACGGAGAGTTTAATTCAATTTCAAGGCAGAATCTCTCACTCAAAAAAGAAGGTTCTGTTTTTCCTTGGAAACTTTACCAGGGCATATTCTTTATCTCATTAAGAACGTGCTCTTTTGGAGTAAGTTAAAAATAGAGACATTACCTCGTTATTAGTGTATATTTTTGCATTCTGTTTTTTTTTTGTATGCAACTTTAACGAGGCCCGCAAAAACATGCATACCATTAAATATTGTGCAAATTCATGTCTCTGATTTGTGTTCGAAATGTGCCTCAAAATTTCCTTTTGTCTGATGCTAGTTGGACATGTATGTCATCTTCTTCCTTAAAGAGAAAATAGAGAAAAGATATGAAAACCGAAAAGCTGGTAGGTTGTAAACAAAGACATTAACGATTACAGCAACAACATCCACAAGAGCAACAACAACCAGAACAGTAACCATGACAACCAGCAACAACACGAGAGAGAACAAGTCGGATTGGTTGTTTTTCGTGTGTGTGTGTGTGTGTGTGGGAAGTGGGGGGGGGGT